TTAAAATATCCATTATGGAAAATAATACTTGTATGTTAAATAATAATGTATATTCCATATGGAATAATCTATCAGCTAACTCTATATATTCAATAATAATCTATACTTCTACTTAATATTATAATTTATTTGCAAATAATTCTGAAAAAAACCAAAAAGGTAAAAAGAAGTAGGGGTTCCACGATAAAAGTGGACATCAAAAAGGGTTCCACGGATAAAAAAGTTTAAGAAACGCTGGTTTAGACTATACATTTATATGTTTAATCACCATAGAACATATAGACATAGCTGCGAATTGGCAGATACTTCGTACGTGACTCAAATCAAATCATTTGAAAATCGCGTGTAAATTATACGGTGTAATAAATATAAATGCGATGCGTTTCAATTCCATTGCACTGCGTGTCATCAATATTTCTWTTGGAAAACAAACGAATTACACTTCCACGAATCGTTTTTCTAATCGAATTATTGTAACGTTTATACTGTCTTGTGGCTTAGGGCCGTTTTCATTTGGCCCGAATTGATTCTTAGAAGTTCGGTACCACTGGTCAACCGGATATAGATAGGTACTCACGGAAAGCGGTCAGGCCGGCGGCGAACGTGTGTTCGACGTACGCCGCGGTGGGCCGGACGACCACAACGGTGCGCTGCTGCAGTGACGTATCCGAGTTGGCTGCCGTGGCCGCGAGTTGTACTGGGATGGGTGGCCGCGGCCGCCTTAGTCCGTACCACTGCTGTAGCGGGACATCGACGGCGCGGCCTTGAAGCGGACGACAGACGTTTTCGGCGGCGGCGGCGGCGTCCGTCTCGTACAACATGGCGAAAAACTTTCTGGGCGACAGTGGCCTGCGGACGGCCACTCCGGACTCGGTCATGTCGAGGTGGTGGCGGTACCTTGTGTTATATGTCTGCAGCGTGCGCGCGTACGTGAGGGCTCGTAGGGACTGGACACCGCAGACGCCGCCACGTTGGGTAGACGACGCCGACGCGCCACCGTGTGGAGGGCGTGTCCTGCGCGTTTATTGTTATTGTCATTATTAGTGTTTTTAGGGGTTGAAACCGTGTAATCTGATCCRCTTAAGCACCGGGGAAAGGGCTGTTTGCCGTATGCGCGCACGCGCTCTCTCTCGCTCCCCGCCATCGAAATCTCATGCACGCCCCCGCTTTTTTTTAAAGACAGTTTTRGTCGCGTTCCCTCCCCTTTAATACGCTACAGTGCAACGTGCACATCCAACCCTGCTGTTGCAGGTGCAGCACATTGTTTCTACTTTACGTATAATATTTTAGTTTTTGAAATCATCACTCTTGTAGGTTTATAGTCATAGGTACATCGAAAAAACTCCGATTTTTCTTGAATTAATTAAAATAAGTAGTTGARATTACTGTTGCACCAATACCAAAAATAGTAATTTYGTTATTCGGCACAAYAATAATGGTTGTGTGTAATCATTTGCGATACGAATTAGTKACTATCCGAGATACTGCTAAATTATTCTCGTTGACGTAGTAATAATCATATAACCTCATAAATTAATAATAATAATTAAAAAAGTGGATATCACTCTGCTGTACAGTAGATTACAAGTGGGTTATTGTAATGGATGGAATTAAATTTGAATCCAATGATATTATATAAAAACGATTCTGATCGAAGACGGTTTATCTGTCTATA